TTTATCAATTGATCGCAACCAAATATATTCTCGAGATACTTCATGTAAGGCAATAATTTCTGCATGGTTGGATGAAGTTGTAGTTATTATTTGTTTCACTAATTTCCATGATATTGCAGCTCCATGTCTTAAGAATACATATCCTATTTGAGATTTAGTTGTTGCAATATCAGATTTATATCCTGCATCACAATATCCAACCAATTTTGGATCTGCGGATTGTGTGTAGTATAATCCCAGGTCTTCAGTACCTTTTAAATAACGTAATAAATGTTTGATGCCATTCCAATGTCATAGTGTTGGATGTGTACTATGTCTTATAAGAACACTAACTGCAAATGCAATATATGGTCTTGTAGATGTAGCTAAATACAAAAGTGCTCCAATCGTTGTGAGGTATGGATATTGGTCTCCCAATATTTCCTCCTCCTCCTCGCATGGACGGTATGGATCATGACCATCACGACCACATCCAACCATTGGTGTGGACAATAGATAAGCATCAATCATATTAAATCTTTGCAAGATTTGTCTAATATACATCAGTTGGTAGAGAAAAATGCTACCATCTGTTACATGCATAATCTGAAGATCAATGTAGAAAGTTATTTTTTCTAGTATTTTCATCTCAAATTCACATATAAGTAGATTTGTAGCTGTAACACATGCAAATGTAGTATCCACTACGTTAAGATCATCAATATATACAATGATAATTACAAAACCAATTTTATCTCATTTGATAAATAAACAAGGGATTAGTGGATCACTTATAAAATTATTTGTAATTAAATAATCTCGAAGATGTTGATACCACATTCATCCGGATTATTTTGAACTATACAAGGCCTTACATAATTTAATACCATAATATTTTTCTGGAGCGGGTAGATTTGGAGTTCCTGTTTCTAAGCCAGGTGGAACTTTTATATAAATATTTGCATCAAGAAAACCATATAGATATGCAGTTACTACATCCATCAGATGCATCTCAAGGGTGGCATGAATTGTCATTCCAATAATATATCGAAATGTAATTCAATCTATGACTGGAGAATATGTGGATTCATAATCAATGTCAAATCGTTGAGTAAATCCTTGAGCAACAAGACGAGCTTTATAGCGGATTATTTGGCCTTGAACATCTCGCTTGCGTATTAATACCATTTTATATCCCACAAGGCGAGATGTAAGAGTATGTACAATTGGACCAAGGACTTTCCTCTTACACAAAGAGATATACTCCTCCTCAATAGCAATTTTTCATTTTGACCTATCTGAGCGACGCATCACCTCTTCGATGGTTTGAGGTTCAGGATCATCTTTCTCGCAAAAAAAGGCTTTTGTAATCATATTTGCAAATGATTCTTCTACCGTAATAGATGGTCTATCCCAAATATCATCTGTAGCACAATACAGAATAGATAATTCTTTACTCCACTTGTTCTTATTCCTTCCAATTCCAAGATTGTTTTTCATAGGAATTGAAGGTACATTATGCATGGATATATCATCATGAATTGGTAGTCCTGCAAGATGAGTGGCAATTTCTTGAGAAATAATATCGAGATTAGTTAATTTTATAGCTTTCTTCTTACATGGTTGCTTATCTGGTCCACAAGTTCTTTTAGTTGTTCTTGTTATAACTTGAGGTATTGTAGTTAATGGCACTACAATCCAAGTAGGTGCATTTTGAGCCTCATTAATATGAACTCTTGTAATTCTAGGTGCATCATTGAAGCCATCAGGTGTTTCATCCACAATCCGTTTTAAATACAAAATCTTAGCAACTTCAGTTTCTGCCAAAGATGTCTTAAGTTCGAGATTCATTGTAAACGTTTCTGGTGCTTCAAATATGAGTATTTTATTTCTTTGTTGATTGGATACTCTTCCTTGAAGAGATGGAAATACAGTTTCTTCAAAATGGCAATTTTATAAATGTGCACGTAATAATGTACCAGTTGATGGATCAATAATACAAATAATGCTTAGTGAATCAAAACCAACATATATGCCTTCTTATCGATGAGCTCAAATGGTATGCCGTTGAGGTTCTTATACTGGAATCCAAGCACGGCAATCAAATACTCGTAAGTGAGATATATTTAGAGTACGACCCAAAATGAGCTCAAGTAGTGAAACAATTTCAAAAGAAGAAGGGCGGAGGCGTATTAATGCTGCAGCATGTAAAACTACATGATCCCACATAGATGCAGGTAGATTTACATGAAGGAAGAGTGGCCGGGTAATGAGTTGTATACGCTTTATAAATGACTCAGCAAGTCCATTTTAAGCATGTTTATATGGAACATAATATGTCAACTCGATTCCAGTTGCAGTACAATAGTCTTCAAAAGACTTTGATGCGAATTCTTTTGCATTATCCATACGTAATGTTTTTATAGGATAATCAAGAAAATATGCCCAAAAGTGAATAAGCATAGATATAAAATTGGCAAACACCATGTTTCGAGTTGATAATAATGAAACGTGTAATTGTTTACCTGATGCATCAATAAGGACCAAAAAATAACGAAATCGTCGTGATATTGGATTAATAGGACCACAAATATTACCATATAATCTTTCAAGCATTGGTAGTAATTCTTGTGAAAGTTTTTAAATTGAAGGCCGAGTAATCATTTTACCTTACACTCATGCACGACATAATTCCATAGAGTCTACATCTGCAAACTTTAAATTGTACCCAGTTATACATGGAATGATCTTTCTAAATAATGTGGATCCTGGATGTCCCAATCGTCCATGCCAAAGAGAAACACGAATCTTTGAGATAGATGATGTAAAATTAAATATAATAGGAGGCCGAATTACAATTCGGTATAACCTATTTTCTATAGCAAAAGCTTTTTCAACAACTTTATGGTTTTTCGTAAGAACCAAAACCTCTTTTCTATTTAAAGTAGCGATCGAGAGGTAATAACCATTAATACGCACATCTCGATAGCTGATCAGACTCCGAGGTACTGAGGGTGCAAACATTGCATGTTTACATTTTATGATGGAACCTGCAGGTAATTTTACCATTGCTGTGCCCTCTTGGAAACAAAACGCATTTGCTCCAGCCATGGTTATCATATTTTTAGTTTGCCAAGTTGAAGATTTTTCAATAAAAAATCATCTATCTCGCAAGATAGTATGTGTTGTTGCAGAATCACTGAGCATATCATTTGATTCATCATCAGAGATTTTATCATTCATATAAGTCTCTAAGTCATCAACACCAATTGAATCCATGGATGCATCCATGGAATAAACTTCACGAGCCTCAACTCACAATTTCTTATTTTCTTGGAACATTTTAATAAAATATTTTGAAGTACGGCACGTATGTGCTAAATGTCCAATCATTCCACACTTATGGCAAGAATGCATCTCTGATTTTTATTTTCTACTATAATTAATAATAAAATATTTATTCTTTCCATATGGGTAGAAATGGTCTTCACTATGACTACCCTAATACTTATGAGCACATTTTCCATGTTTATATAATTTCTTCTTAGACTTTGAAATATTAAGTGCATGAGATTCTGGAACTATAGTTCTAATAGGACGAGCTTCTACATTGCACAAGAGTAGCTCATTTTGCTTCTCCACAAGAAGTAGATAGGATATCAGATCAAAATGACTCTGAAATTTCATGTTCATGTATTGTTGTGCAAGCACAGTAGATACAAGAGGAAATATAGAGAGAGTTTTCTCAATCATTTCTTCTTCATAAATGCTTTGTCTTCATAATTGTAATTATGAGATAATACTATACATTTTACTATTGAAAGCATTTAAATTTGGAAAATCCAAGACATGTAAATGTGTCCAATTATGACGAGTACGTGGAAGAAAAATAGTCTTTTGATGATCAAATCTAGATTTAAGATTCTTCCAAAGTTCTGTAGGATCTTCCATTTCGAAATATTGATGTAGTAATGCAGGTACAAGATGATGATGAAAGAAAAGAAGTGCTTTTCAACAAATAGCAGGACGTATAGAAATACTTATTGTAGGAGATTCTTCAAACATAATGGCATCCGAGAGTTGTTCTGCAAATAAATTTACTTTTACCATTTTTGCCCATAATAGATAATTATTTCCATCCACAATCAATGGTAGAAATAAAAGAGCTTGAAAATGTTGGGATGCACTGGTAATAGTTGGAATCATAGTAGAAGCAGTCGAAGATGTTGAAGCACTCATTATAAATAAATCTGTAAAGAAAATACAAGATTAAGTAGAAAAGTTGAGTAAAGCGTACCTTAAAATATAAAGTCAAATAAAATGATAAACTTGAACTTGAAAAAACTGAAATATATATATATATATAGGAAATTATAGATTAAGGCAGCAGAATAGCAATAAGATGGCATAGCAAGCAGCGGTAGGGCGACAGCAGTAGGACGGTAGGGTGGCAACGGTGGGCAGTAGTGGCGGGCGGCGGTGGTCAATGGCAGGCAGTAGCGGACAGCGGCGGCGGCGATGGCGACAGCGACATTAGGACGACGACGACAACGGGCGACAACGTCAACGGCGATAGAATGGCAAAGGCGGTAGTGGCGGGTTCGGCGGTAGCTCGGCGGCAATTCGGTGGCTGTTTGGTGGCAGCAAGGAGCAGGGGCAGGGCGCACCAAGGAGCAAGCCAGGGTGGAGTTGGGCTAGATCAAGTATTCTAATCAAGCAGTTCAGAGAGTGGAACAAGTGTTCTAAGCAAGTTAATGTGTGAGGGGCCAGTAAAAAAAACAAGATCATGAGGGTAGCAACAGGTTTGAAGAGTCAAAGACTAGAGCAAAAAATTGTGATAGTGTGTAGAAGAAAGTTGTGTTGATAACCTGTTGAGAATGTTTAGAAAGACACAAGAGTAATAGTAAGTCATACACACACACAAGAGTAATAGTAAGTCATACACACACATAAGACTAGTAGTAAGTCATACACAGAAGAAGGTTTCTAAGGAGAGAGAGCTTTACATCCAAACAATCTATTGATCTGGTTGTGTCTCGTATACAAGAAGAGAAAAGAGGAGAAGATAAACAGTACTTCTCCACTAGACTCTAAATACTGTAGCTATAGTATTTAGTATAGTCTACAATAAATATTATGGAGAACGCCTGCTACATTTAATGATCTCAACATGATTCAACTCTTCTGAATAGCTTTGCACTGACCTTTTCTAATTTTTTAATGGTCACAACTTCTACATCTTGAATATCTCATAGCAGTTTTCTCACGCATACAAACTCTACCATGATACACTCAAGCTAGTGGACTTAATGCATTAACAGTCGGTATCCGAGCGGCACACTTCTACTTTACATACTTATTTAACCACTTGATCATGAGTCTGTGAGCCTTGTTAGCCTTTGCTACAGCAGTAGCGTTGTTTAAATTGTACCGGAGAGCAAACCCGTGCTCCACCCCAGAGAAGATCTTCACATAGCTCGGCACCTGTTTCTTTCGCGCCTTCAAAATGCTCGTGAAATTCTGAACGCCGTCCGATGGCGCTGCCAGAACCATAATGGGGACCACCACCTGTTCGTAATCGGATGCTGTCACAAACGCGGGATGGGTCTGAACAATTGCTTTCGTAACCCCGATCTGCTCTCCCACCAGAGCTGCCAATTTGCCACCCCAGCAGAACCCTGCAAAACCTACTGAGCTAATGCCTTTCGCCTTCACTGATAACACAATCTTGTTTGATGATTCCACTTCAGCGGCCTGTTGATTTCGGAAAAATCTTGAGTTTAGAGGTTTGATTTTGTATAAACATATCTTTAATTCACTCAATAGCTGTAGCTGAAATAGTCACACGAAGGAATTTGAACTATGTCATCTGTTTTCAAGAGACAAGCTGCTACAAATTTCCTTGATTTATATTGACGTGAGATGAAGCTACGGTTCCTCCACGTATGTGTAATCCATGTAGAATTTTCTAGCGTATTAAGGATTAAGAACAAGCTCATAATTTAAGTTTTATGTTTTAGGATAGTGCAGCTTCACAAAGTTTCTACTCCCAATTTTATGTTCTCCAGCTCTCTTGAGTTTATTTCATTTAGTATTGATCAAATTTTTCCTTAGTAAGCATGTAAACCAGCTCTGAAAGCCCGACTTAGACAGAACACGAACAACGTAGATCTAACTGAAGGAAGAATTCAGCACCTCAAACACCTTTACTGCGAAGTATTCTTTCTAAATCAGCAGACTGCAACTGAGAGCGTAGAAGATGAAGAGATGAGAATCTCACCACGGGATGCTTGGGTAACCATGTTGTAACGTCTGAAAGATTAACAAGAGGATCGCCCCTGAAGTAATCAGGTACCACCACATAATAGCCCTTTTTTGCTACTTCGTCCGCCACCTTCCTATCAAGTGTGTAATCGAGGATTTCTAGTTTTTGGTCAGGCATGCATTAGATCAGTTATCTTTGGCAGTTAGATGCGTTAATCCAAAGCTGGATCGCGTCATCAATGCCCTACCGACAACTTGGTGTGAAACCTCATTGTAAAGCAGAACACGAACTTGACGAACTTAATATATTTCTCACAACGAGCCTAGTACAAAGCACGAGGTTGTCAAGAACTAATAACTAAACTCTTTTGAATTCACAAACTGAGAGGTAGAGTGTACGCAGATTACCGAAGCAGAGGAACTCTCCAACCTGTCAACGTCAACAATTGCCACTAATGAGTGCGGTGTAGACGGGTTTGCAAGCATGCAAAATTCTTTTCACTGTATATAAATAGTGATGTTCATCTCTGTGAATTTCATGCGCCAAGGATAAAAACGGTGCGAAATCTAGGATGCCGTTTACCGAGTACGTCAGATGCTAGGATAACAGCTGCAGAGGCTGAGGGGGACTCAGTCTCTCGTATATGTCCAGGCCTGCCAAGGTGGTTTCCTTCCCACAGGAGTCATACGTAGCTGGCGGCCCAGGAGTGTGGGTTGCAGGGTCGAACTCATGAGCTGCTGAACCTGAACCAAAGTCATCACACACGCACGGTCATGAAGAATAACAAAACATTGGGCAAGTTCTAAAACCCTTCACAGTCCGATGTCTAGCCAACTTCAGAAATGCTGCACGAAAAGTATGAATACGAATGAAACCAATAGAAGACAGTGAGCAGTTCGCGAGTTCCAGCTCAGAAGGACGATCGACATGTTACAACATGTGGAGCTGAGCGGCACCGGCATCTAAATTGCGAAAACCAACAACTGACTCAGTGCCAGATAAACGGTTTTCGTCAGTGATCAACACGCAGGAGTTCTCAAAAGAAGGGGCATTTATCTACCAGATCAACACAGAAGCGCGACGACGACGACGACGACGATCGAGATAGCCATCTCTCTCGACAATCAACAGCAGGCGTCACACTGAGCTTTCTGACCCTTGTTTTATATGAAGGCAAAAATTGGCACCCAGTGAACCCCAACCGCGTTGTGACCTACAGTGTGAGCTTCGAAGAACGGACGGTGGCCAGATAACTCAACCCTGTTAATTAATTAATTAAAGAGCGAATCGTGGAATCCAGAAACTAAAGCAGAGGCAGTCAGAGTTACTGGGTCAGAATCAGAATTGAGAACCGGGTATTGCTAATCACAGACGAATACTTGTGCATCCAAATGGGAACCAGTTTAATCTTACTCAAAAAACGATAGGTCATGAAATTTGTGTTTTGTGGAGTCCGTTTAACTTATATTTATGTATGATCTTTTCTAATCAAACACATTCTTTAGTAATTTTATTGATACTGTATGTTTAAATTAATATCATTCATGTTTTTTACAAAGATAATTATGTGATTGATTTATTTTAAAACTTACTGTTCTTAATAGTATAGGAATATGTGAATATATGTACAATCTAGTGCTTAAATATCTTCCTTCTTTATATATATATATATATTAAATGATAATTTTAAATGAGCTTGATGCAACGAGAATGAAGTTGCCAATATCAATCTTAATATTGTTAATATTTACATAAAGACAATTATAAATGGCATTATATTCTTAAATATAAATTCATTTTTTATGTAATAAACTTAATAATTAATTATATGAAATTTTATTTTTAAAAATAACTCTTTTATATCTTTACACAATTTTAAATTTAAATTTTTTTATATAATAATGTGCAACTAAATATTTTATAGATTTGTGGAGTATTATATTTCAAAGCTTTAATTATATGTAGTAATTTTTTTTAATAATTTATTTAGAATATGGTTACTATTTATTTATTTATTTATATGATTGGTCAAAACAAGAACAACGTATTTTGATGTAAAAAAGAAGAAATAGCTCTTGTGTATCAAGCCAAGACTTTGTTTTCCACAAACTATTATATTCCACAAACCATGCGAATGATATTACATTCTTTCCTCAGTGTTTCCAAATTTTCCTTAGCAAAGAAATTGCCCTCAATGTACACATGAATGAGCAGCCCTTACTTTACTTACAACGCCCGTCGTCTTAAAATTGTCGTTGTTAGCATTTGGTGTTTTCATCCAAGACCGACCGAATAGAGACATTCATTCGACCCACTCCATACCATCCCTGGAACTATGGCAGCAGCCCCCCTCGTCACTACGTGTCGCAGAAACCACTTTCTTCAATCGACTGTCTCGAGATATCTGGACCGTCGGATTTCCAGATTGAATCCTGGCCGTTCCAGAGTCTATTGGGAACTCATGGGGAACGCAGAGAGCGGGCGGAGGATCTCGGGCGGAACTGGCGGTGCGGCAGGGGAGCGAGGAGGGGAGCGCGAAGGGAGCAAGGAAGGGAACATGGCGTGGCGAGCAGGGGAGCTCGGGGATATCACAATTCAATTGCTTAAAAACATTTTTTAATCCATAACTCAATAACCCTAGTTTAGTTATGAAAAAAAGAAGAAAAAAAAAGGATGAACGGATAAACGGATAAACGGATAAACAGATGGTTTTTAAATGTATGTGTATATGTAATTAAATTTTCAGTTTGAAGAAATGATGCAACTATAGCTTAAAATTGTGTGTAATTTTCTTTTTTTCATCCACAACCCTGTTCATGTTAAGTTATTGTAATTTGTAAATGTAAAATGGTTTTTAACGAACGACTCAGAATAAAGTCACATGATACATAAATTAGAAAATGAAATATAGAGTTTTTGAATAATTAAAATTTTGATTTATTATAGTATTTTTAAAAAATTACATAAAAAGAAGGTAAAATAGATAAATTGATAAACTTTTTTTTAAAAGTATAAAAGGAATCTTTTTCATCAACAACATTATGTTGAGTAAATTATTCGGGTTTTGATTTTTGATTATTGAAGCTTCAAGTATTAAAATAGGTACTAAATGCCACATTAATTTTCTTATGAGAAAAATTTCAGTATGCTTCAATGTATTTGTAGAACTTTGGTGCATATTTTTTTGATAAAGAATACTATTAAAAAAAATCTGAATTCGTACTTTTTTTTTCCATTGATTCACAATGTTTTAAGAATTGTGATCTTCACTTGCATGACTTCTTGATACTATATTGCACTTGAGGGTTTGTACCTTTACGGATTGATCCATTTGTAAGTGAACTTAGTACTAATCTTTGTAGATTTGCATGGCACAAGACATTAAGTTCCTGCATTTTATTTTGGAACTTTTCTGTGGTCAATGGCACTGGTTTCTACTAGTGTGAGCACAATGAGGGGGGAGAATATGGATCCGTGCGGGCCCAATCAGGAATGGGTTCTAAGCTTCCAACATGCCGCCCTCCAACCTGCACGCTCCCTTGGTTCCCTGCCGTTCTCTCCCAGAGTTCCCAATAAATCCTGTAACGGTCAGGATTCAATCTATAAATCTGACGGTCCAGATGTCTCGAGAGTGGATTGAAGAAATTGGTTTCAGCGACACGATTCAACGAGGCAGCAGCCCCTGTCTGATCTATTGCGGCGACAATCTCACGTCGCAACATGCGATCAATTGCAGGCAAAGGGGGACAATTCCCTCACAATTCTCGCGCACGGGAGCCTGTGCAAATCTAGGAAGTATCTCCGTCACACGAATTGACGAAGAGCAGTGTCCATAGCGAAGCAATTGGCTTAGAAACTGATGGGACCACAGGAGGCTTGAAACTACGCACCTCAGAATCATTCGTGAGTGCATTGTTTGTGAACAATTGTCTGATTGGTCGCAATTTGATCGTGGAGCTGGCGTGATTTTTGCACAGGACATGATGTGAATTTTGGGGTTCAAGAGTTTAGGGTGTTTGATTTAGGGCTATTGCGTTTGCGCTCTAGTCAGGTTGATGACTCGTTAATTCTTTACGATGGGTTGTGAGATTGAAGTTGTGGAGGTGCGTTTGGGATTAATGGTTGAAATGCTTTTCTTGAGAGATTATTTATGAATTGTGCAGTGCTGTGGAGGTTGAAGATTTGTAGAAATGGAGGTGGAGGTGAGGAGGGTTGGGAAGCAGGATTGCTTTGCATCGCTGCCCATCCCGCTGCTGGAAGCGTTTCTGTCTGAACAAATGCCGTCGTTTCCTGTCGTGCTCGAGCTTCGTCTTCCGGGGAAGAAAGGTCGAGGTGGGCCGTGGTTTGTGGCATGGGATGGTTCAGCTTCTCGGACTTCGCACATCGAGGTGACTACCCTAACAATGATGTTCCTCTAATTTTAATGTGGTAATTTTTGTTGAAGTCAGTAGCTCTCGCTCTTGTTGTAAAAATCAAAGGTCATCTGCACTAAATTTCTATTCCACTTGCTCCTGTCCCTTGGTGACATAGGTTTCAGAAAAATTCGCAGACTGCATTGGTCTGGAGAATGGCACACGGGTTATCGTTCGAGCTAGGGCCGAGGTTGCTGTTGCTGACACAGTCGCCATCGAACCTGCAAGTGAAGATGACTGGGAAATGCTGGAGCTTAATGCTGAGTTTCTAGAGGAGCACTTGATTACTAGGGTACGTATTTTTACAGTTACTTCTGCAAGGATTTTATGGATGGTTCTTTTATTAAATTGGCATTTAGATACTGATAGGAATATAATTGTGAGTCAGTGGATTTGTGACATACTCTAATTGTGAACTTCCTTAGAGTAGTTTGTGGCTTACATTCAGATGACTGGATTTGGTTTATCAATGTTTGTTGTCTTTGGAGCAATTCGCAGGTAGGAGTATTATACGAAGGACAGCGATTCCCCGTGTGGATTGAAAGCGGCAGTGTTTTGTTGCTTCAAGCCTCCACTACAAGTCCTAGCAAGCTGGTTAGTGACATATAGTACTTATATTTTACTTAAGTAATTGCAATGTTTCACCAACTTTCAATTCATGTTCGGTTGTGTGCTTGTGTAAATAGCATTACAGCCTCGTGTACATGCTTTTTAATTGTGTTCGGCGGATTGAGCCTCAGCCAAATCACTGTAGCGTGTAAATTTTTGGTGGTAACTGCGATCGTTGCCTCCTGATTTGAAGGGATTTGTGAATGGGCCTAGGTACGATTAGAAGCTGGTGCTGAGCTAATTGTTGCTCCGAAGAAGCGACAGGTGTCAACATCGTCGAATGATGTCAAGGTTTCTGCCGAGAACGGTAAATTAGACAGGGCCTCAGTGTGGACAGGACATGCTTGGCTCCGGGTTCAGGAGCTGCACCCTTCTTTAGTGCAATCCGTTCATGTGGGGGAATTGGTCTGCTTTAGCGACCCCACGACTGCCATGTTCTTGTGCCCTTTGACTGCGAAAAAATTAAGACTTTCACATGGACAGCTTGTTACGTTGTCCGAGTTTTCAGTGAAGACCAGGTTACATAATTTGCAAAGTGGAGAGCAGGAGAGTGTTTTTCCCACCGAGGCGGATGGTTTTGAGCTTGGTAATGGAAGAGTCAAAGTGAAAACTGCGGGAAGGAGGGTGGTTGTAAGAGCGGTGGTTACAGATTTAGCCAAACCGGGGCATATTATGCTGGCCCAGTCACTTCAAACTTACTTGGGTCTCAGCTGCCATGCAAGTAAGTTATGTGATCGGTTTCGTTATAATAACTATCTACTCCTGACTTCTTCTGTTGCTACAGATTGTGGTGGGGCCTTTGAGTGTAGCTATGTTATGATTATACTAATTCGGGAAACTGAATGCCTTATATCAAATACTGAATTAAACCCTCATTTGTTTTTATAGAGAACTCTTTCTGAATGGTTTAAAGTCAATTGAGGCTTTGGTTACGCTTAATGTATTTTGAATTGTATAGGCAATGCCAGTAGTGCAGGTGGGTTATTCAAATAATCAGCATACTATCATATGTAGTTATCGGGTTGAATGATTTTGCTACGTTTCGATATCATCTTGGTCCAGTATCTTTTTGGTCTACTCGTTTAGGTGGTCTTTTGTTTGAAAATTATATACCTCTACTGTTTGTGCTGATGCAAGTAGGTATTTCACTCGTAGAAAGAATTTGCGATTCTAATTTTTTTGAATTGTCTTGGACAGGAATTGGTATCCATTCATGCGGAGATCCCAGTGCTTCAATGCCTGCATTGCTTGAGTTCTTTCCAGCAGTATTTGAGGAAACAGAAGAGAATGGTGATGAATCACTCCAGGTGAATAAAAGCCGTGTGCATGTGGGTAGAAAGGTAGAGCGCGTGTTAGGGAGATGGAGCAACCACAAAGAATTTTTAGCGTCGGTGGGTGAGAGTCAGAGAGAAAATGGAATCCATCGCTTGAGCCATAATGAAGATGTGAAAAATTCTGAGGAAACTCAACGATCCGTGACAGGATTGCTCCATGCTTGGCTGGTCGCACAGGCAGCTGTTTTCAGCTGTGATGCACCTTCCCAACTTGAGAAGTATGTACCAGTCTCAGGAACAACTATAGTTCATCTCAGACCTTCTCAACAGTCCGTAAGGATAAAAGACTCAGAGAGCAGAGGTACTCACAGGGCGTTGAAAAGTTCTGTCAAGCAGGACCAAAAAGATCTACTCTTTTTGATTGGGTTTCAAAATCATTCTAACGATGGATCATCTCCAACTCAAGCTCTATCAAACGCAGCCACTCTTGATGAATCGAACCTTTATATTATGTTGGAGTCGCAGATGTTTTTAGATGAACAAGAACCTTTCAGCAGAAAAGCGTCAGGAACAGTTTCTGATAGTAAACGCATATTGCCCGTCAAAGTTGGCAGTTTCGAAACTATTTCCTGTAGGAGTCTATCCAACTGCTATGAAACTTGTGGGCCCACCCTATTTTCGCTGAGGTGGTTAGGCGAATCACTGGAAAAGGCCTTTTTTCGTAAGTTGTTGTTCCGTCCTTCTCTGCATCGTCTTACAATGTGCATTAGTTCCTATATTCAGCTAAAAACGTAACTGTTGGATCATCGGATGGAGTTAATGTTCCTTTAATTGCAGGAGTGAAATTACTTCTATCGCCTACCATCACGAGGAACTGTTTTGACTTTACTGGAACTGTTCTTCTGCATGGACCACCTGTAAGTCGTCAAACTGTAGTAACTAGAATTTTATCATTATCAAGATTGTGCTCGGTAAAGATTTTAATCTTGATGACATTAGCAGTTCATCTCTTCTATGTTTTCTATCCAGAAACTTTATTGGTATTTTGGATTTCTGATATTTTTTGTTATTAGGATATACAGATCTGAGTTGCTTCACTTCATTGTCTGTTTGTCTCCAGGCCTGTGGAAAGACTACGGTAGCTTTAGCATTGGCTCGGGAGCTGCAAGCAGACCCAAGTGTACTTGCGCACAGGTATTCGGTTATTTTCTCTGTGTGTTTGTGTTATTGGTTTAGCTCGTGATATAAGAATTTAAGTAAGGAACGCTTATACTGTAGTTATAGGAAGCTCTAGCGCAGTATAAACTCCTTGTGAAGAACATCGCGCGGACACGACGGTGTATGGTTGGCACTAGACATCGAGTATCAAACAGTCAATTGCTGTAGACTTCACGAAAGTTTTGATCTGTGTAACTGGTTTTTGTATGAAGTTTTCGAATATTCACCTGGTTCCCTTGTGACTGGGATGCGATAACAGGGTGATTGTAAGGTGCAACAAGCTAGTCGGGGAACAGGCTAGCTCAATCCGGAATTTGCTACAAGATGCTGTGTCAGAAGCCCTGGATCATGCGCCAGCTTTGGTTATTTTGGATGATCTAGACGCCCTACTTCCAAAAGAAGAAGGTCCGGAGCCAGCTACAGCAGTAATGGCTTTAGCAGAGTTTCTCGGTGATCTTATGGATCTATACCAGGTCATGTTCCTTTCCTTTGTTTCAAACATATCAATGCAATTGGTTGCTAGTTACTCTACTTCCATGCGAAAAATGTGCTTTCCCTCTTGCTCCAGAGCCAATCGGTCGATAAATGCTCTTTATCAGTGGAACTACTTTGTCAAAAAAACCATGAGCGCGGCGTTTTTTTTTTTTTTTTTTTTTTTTTTTTTTTTTTTTTTTTTTTTTTGGTTGGTGATCAAATTTAATTGATTTGGTTTACACTTCTGTTCACAGGGAGGCAAGCAAGGAATGAAGATAGCATTTCTCGCCACTGCTAGGTCACCTATGGCTATCCCGGATTCATTGTGCTTATCAGGTGTTCTGCAATGGACTCCTTAACATGTTTATCTACCATGTATACTACTCTTGTATGAAGCATGCAACCGGGCATTTTGAATGTTAATTGGAATTACTACAGCAATATGAGCTATATGTGCTGGGCAATGTCATAGTATGAGGGACTTTGTAGACCTTTCCTTCTCTATCTCTTATTAATACTGAATTCCCGAGTATGTGTTCCTTGTTTTTCTTTGTAGGAAGATTTGATTATCACGTAGATTTGCCCACACCGGCAGCATCAGAGAGGGCAACGATCTTAGAGGAGGCTGTAGCTGCTCGTGGTTTTTTATGTTCGTCATCAGTAGCATCTGAAGTCGCAATGAGCTTTGATGGGGCTGACAGAAGTGATCTGGTAAGACGTTTGCACCGCTGAAAAGGATCGTTTTTCTTTGCTGATATTATCGTTTTTCATTCTATTGAATGCATGGATCCGCAAACTGATTATGGCAAGTACAGGACGTGTTGGTGGATAGAGCTGCACATGCGGCAGCGGCTCGCTTCCTTTCTCCAGGAGCTACGAATGAATCCATCACAGAATGGCTACTAAACCAATCTCTGTCGTCGAGGAGGGAGAAATTCGAACTTTTCTCGATGGACTTCAAAGCAGCTCAGCACGATTTTGTCCCTTCAGCGATGCAAGGTATTGCAAAAGGTGGGGATCAAGCTGGAAGATCTGGATGGGATGACGTGGGTGGTCTCTTGGAGACACGTCGTGCTTTACAAGAGGTCAGCAAGTGACACTTACATACCTTGTCTTACTCGCTTTTATTGGTGTATTATGATCAATTCGGTGGTAGTGTAGACTATGTTGAAATACTTGTGCTGACCTTGATACCATGTTGTCGTAAATTGGAACTGTCATTTTTTTAGATAGCAGCATCTAAGGAACTCATGTCTATAAGTGCATTTGGAAGCTGGCGAATACTTGTAAAGTTGTGGTTGTAACTGTAATTTTTTGCTACCTGGTTTTTTGGACGTCTTAAATTCTTTTGCATACGGTTAAAAAATCTTTAATTGGTGTCGTTTCCGATACCACTCCTGGGTATGTCTGGCAGGTATTGGAGCTGCCAGTAAAATATGGAAGTATGTTTAAAGGGGCTCCACTCAGGCTGCGCTCTGGCGTTCTTCTTTATGGTCCACCTGGGTGTGGTAAAACCCACATTGTAGGGGCTGCTGCCGCGGCATGCAGTCTTCGTTTTATTTCTGTCAAGGGCCCTGAGTTATTGAACAAGTACATTGGGGCCTCTGAGCAAGCGGTGAGGATATTTTATTCGTTTCTCTTTTGATATAACGAAATCAATGTCGGATTTTATTTTGTATGTTGCGGAGTCCATCTATGTTATTTAGCAAATTTAAGGTCCATCTAGTGTAACAAAGAAGGGAAAAGATAGAAGCGTTGTTTTTTGCTTATGCGATGATGATGTCAAGAAGTCCAAAATAGTGAAGTTGAAATAACGTTAATGATTTTTGTGCAGGTTCGTGACGTCTTTGCGAAGGCAGCAGCAGCCGCCCCGGCACTGCTTTTCTTTGATGAATTTGATGCCATCGCTCCGAAGCGAGGCCATGACAACACCGGAGTGACAGACCGTGTCGTTAATCAAGTAAGTTCATCAAACTGCAACTCTCATCTTTCAACAAATCCTCAGCTCTTAATCTTCAGACGTCATGCCTTGTGACCCCCATGTTGGTGATTAGTCGTTGAAATTGCATTCATTTTCTCGTCTGTTGGTGGCGGACTAAAATGCCACGAGTTGGTGCTCATGATAATTGGGATTGACCTGCATGCAGCTCCTGACGGAACTTGATGGCGTGGAGGCTCTCAATGGCGTCTTTGTGTTTGCAGCAACCAGGTAATCTCTTTCACGTATGGTGTCCTCTTTTTGTGGTACGTTGTGGTGAACATGCTGTCGTGATCGCAGCCAGTGCCTTAGTTATGTTTTGAAGTTTTATTCTGGCTACAGTTCTTGGTTAATTATGCTGAGAAGATTGGATCACCATTTTTGGTGCAGTCGACCAGATTTACTGGACGCAGCTTTACTCCGACCTGGTAGGTTGGATCGGATGTTATTATGCGACTTCCCCACTACTTCTGAGCGCGCTGAGATACTTCATGTCCTCTCCAGAAAGGTTTCTTTCTTACCTTCTGTACTTCTAATTGACGTGATAGTTCAATTTGTATATAATCACTTCATCTTTCGTTGATCTTTAAGTTCTCTTAGTGAACCAATTCAACTTGCTTTGTCTTTGAATTTTCTAAGCATGAAGATAATATAGCCACAAATGTTTCTGTTGGTTCTTTGCCCATATGAGAACTTTGTTTTTTGATATTCTTCTTATATAAACAGTCGTTTTACATATCTCCTTGCTTTTATTGATTTATCAATTATCGAATTTCTTAGCATCTAGTAAACGTATTGTAATGAAGAATGTATATGTGGACCATTTATTCTTATTGTAAAACTAAAGTTGTAAGTAGAAACTTGGCAATGTCAGCACCTGATGAGGATGTTGGGGTTGCTGGTGCACAACAGTTATCTTTTGCAGAGGATGTGGACTTGGACACAGTGGCTGCTATAACGGACGGATTCAGTGCTGCTGATCTGCAAGCCGTCTGTTCAGATGCGCAACTGGAGTCTGTCCATACTTTCTTAGCAAACAGGGAGGGAACAGCTCCGGTGGATTCAACAGCAAAACCGCTCATCACAATGCAACACTTACAAACTGCTGCTCGGAATGCAAGGCCTTCAGTACCTGAGGCTGAGAGGCGGAAGTTAAATGATATTTATGCATCCTTTATGGAAACGAGGAGGACAACGCCATCAAAGGTATGTCCTTATTCTAGTATCTTTGTTGAGAGCGTTCGCCCAGTGGACATAGTGTTCTAGTTCCCTTATCTGGTTAACAATGCGCTGAGTGTTGTAAACAAGTTCCGTTGTATCTTGATAATGGACACACATCCTTCTGCGATTGCATATCTGTAGCAGATGAAACAGTGTGCGTTTGTCAGTAACAAAGAAATTAACGAAAGACAACAATATTTGTATTCCGAATCATGTTTGACCTGCGAATGGTACTTTTCATGCAGTCACAGGAAAACAAAGGTAAGCGTGCCACTTTGGCATAATCAAACTGAAAGGCTTCATCACAGCACTCGAAAAGCAGATCCCTTCTAGGCAGTGAGAATTAATACAGCCACTGAAGAAGCTTGTACTAGCCAAAAGTACCAGAGCCACCTGGAAGGAAGATGCTCATTTTTGTTGCCTCTCTCAGAAGGTAAGTACATCGTACGATACTCTTGCATAAAATATTTCTTAATCTCTAGTTATTTCCTTGACCTGGTTTTAATATACTTCCCACTCTTTATAACCAATTTTACTAGATAGGTTATCGAAGATGGTTTTTACACATGCTGACTGAAGAGCATCTAATCACCAATCGTAAGTATAATAAAGAGCATATTTTGGTCCTATGGAACTGAAGTTAGTTAAGCTGTTGTTGCATAACAGGTGGCCAGCTCTAAGGAAGATTTCATGAGGATATCGAGATTGAGGTAACATACTAGCATCAAATTTTTAGTTTCAAGTTTAACTACTCACAGCAGCTGAGTTCTTGTGATTTTCAACCTTCGACTGTAAATAGTTCCGAGGTATTTTTAAATACACGTCATTTTTCACTTGGTCTGCATCACGGTTTTGTACAGCGTTGCCTCCGGGATTTGATGATCTGTGCAGACCCTATTTAGGACAGCGAGTTCCCTTACTGTGCCATATAGTTTTTCATGCTACACTACTCGATCATTCTAAGAACTTTAAGAATGGTGAACTTCTGACTATTAACAAATTTGGAGCATGATTCTTTGTGATCCAGTATTTTCGTAGTCCCGATCAAGCTTGACAAATGTTTAAAAGAAGTGTTCGGTCGATATGATGATTTTAGAACTTTTAGAATCTGAAAGATATGCAATTTTGGTTGTGCATCCGCTGTCGTGGTTTGTATTGTTTTATCCAATTTTTGAAGTGGCGTTGTTATATTCCATTCGAGCTTATTAACTTAATTCAATCTGAGAATTCTAGTAGAATTTCTGCTGTGATCACAGTTTATTTGTATGGATATGCCTTGATACCCAATTTTCGGACAAAGATTTATTGCTCTTCACATAACGCCGGTTGTGTCCATACTGATCGATTGAAGTGCAGATGGTCCACTCTTCACAACGTGATCTATTAGCATATCAAACAGCTGCCTTCTTGACGCACAGATGGATTTAAATCTTCATTTTGGTTTGTTTGAAGCTTGATTGATAGCGCACTTCTTTGACACTCTTATGATAGTTTTCAATTGATCCTAAATAATTGTACCTTTATAAATGTCAGAAATGTTACGTATCAAAGGATGATGCAAATTTCATGAAAGTGGATTGTACAATTTCTATATGCATGCATTTTGAGCATGAGTCTGTAACATGAGTCTTTACTTTTGATATTAACTTTGCATAAGATTTGGGTAATTGCAAGTATTTGATCATTGGAGCACTAGGTTTGTTTGTGAGGGTGTAGTAAATTAGAGCACTAAGGTGTAGTAAATTTTTTGTGAGTTGTTAGTCATAATTTTCAATTAAAAGTATGATTTAAAATAAATAAATAAATGATAAGTACTTATGCAGATTGTTTTGATTGTGGGAAAATGCATTTTATCTGTTCTCAAGAATCGAAATGTTGTGTGTTGCAATTACACTTGTTGTAACTATATATATAGATAAATATATATATATATATATATATATATATATATATATAGTTATACACCAAAACAATTAATTGTTTGCAGTTCATTCTTTTACACAATTCAATAGATTAAATAACATCTATGTCTGATTTCAATTTGTTAAAGAAATATAAACAAGCACAATCCAATGTCATGTAAGTTTCATTTTTGATAGATAATATTTTTATTGAATTTTTGAAAGATGTGCACATCTATACTACAATTTGAATAATATAATATATGTATGGATTTTCTATCCTCTAAAAGAAAATTTTCTTATTAGAAATGAATTTAAATTTAAATTAATATAATATAAATCTATGATATAATATTATTGATTTATAAATGTACTATTATAGCAATTAGTTTCATTGCAACTTAATTGAAATGTGACAAAATGTACTATCATTTTCCTACTTGACATGTACATGGATTATTATCTACTAAACTATTATAAAATGACAAATATTAGTGCATTATTTACTATCAACATATACTCATACAATCTGTAAAAGTAATAGTGATGTCAATGAGAATTCTTTTAAAAGCATGCCTTTAAAAGCATAATTTATTTTGATAAATTATTTATATATATATATATATATATATATGAGCATAAAATCATTTTGTTGCAAATAATAGTAATAATAATGAATATGTACAAGAAAAATCTCTATGATTGATTAAAAAAATAGATATCGTTCTGTATAATTCTATAAATTTAAAATAAAATATTAATCTAAATTTTAATATTTCTAATATTTAATAATTTAAAATACTATAATGGTTGCAACCATCTTTTTGGCACCTCTCCAACTTTAATAGTAACGTAGCAATAAGCTATAGATGCATAATACATATAGTGTTCACCAAATCTTACAAAACTCACACCTACTCTTCTTCTTTCTTTACTTCTTTCTTTCATTCTCTCTAAATACATGTTGATAATTGCTAAGATATGATACAAATTTACTTCTTAATCCTCTTTGAATAGACATACCAATATGTTGTAAAGATTTAGGTCAAATTTCATAACACAGGATATCAAACAAGACAATAAAATGAATTAACATGTCAATAATTGCTTAGTTATGATTTGATAACCACTAATTTGCTCTTCAATGCATTCTTCTAATCACAATTTATTGGTGCTCACTCAAAAATCATGGTCTAATATTGATGCATTGAAAACCACTTTAGGACACAATGATAGATTTAGTATACCATTTAATATATACATATATAAACAATACAATATACCTCTAGTAATTTGACACAAATTGAAAAGCACCAGTTGGGCAAAAATTACATACCCTGACACAGAAACAAAGGAAAAATGAGTAATTGCTGTATTTAGTCCACGTCATACGTACCAATTAGGGCAAAATCGGGGGTGAGGAACATCAGTGGAATTTGTGCGAGAACGATCAGATCTTGGAATTCGAAGATTCTCCAATACCATTCTAATCGGAAAAAAGCCGCCCTATTTGTTGCCTACCATTTTCCAGAACAAGATTTTGGGGATCGTCAGAGCCCGAGCCTATTTTATGATTGTGCGTGGGTATAGGGGACCTTTCTTGTTACGCAAGCAACGCTGAGGGGGTTTTACAACCTTTATATGTCAGTAAATAAATGATTATAAAATGGTTATTTGCGGTGGTTGAAAAATGTGTGCTGTGGATCAAGTGTACATTACCATCCAATTGCTCATTTCTATATTTACAAAATTCACCATTAATAGTAAAACTATATCATCTTGAATAGTAAAGTTAGATGCTTGCGGGCTTATTAGTGATGCCAAAAACGGGTTGCTACTCAGATTATGGAATATTTATAGTTTGCCTTCTCGAACAAACTTTAACCCTGTATTAAGGTTTTTGTTCATGTTGAAACAAGAAGAGAGCGGTGTTGGAAAGTAAAAGTAATAAAAAAGTAAATGGCAGGAAGGGAAAGGTGAGATGGAGTAAAGACCTTGTGGAGAAAGGCAAAGGCATGGCTAGATGTCAGACCCAAGTTGACTATGGTAGGCTCATCTTATCATCAACTAAGGGAACGTGTGCCTCAAGCGGGAACCACGCAACGGGCCCACAAGCGATGAGAACGTTCCCTTGAGAACCGATGGGAACGTCATATATGCCCGTTGCAAACCATGCTGCATGTTTTCACTTGCACGTATGGTTGCGTTCACACTGCGGAATGACCTACCGGATAAGTCCGGTTATCCCGAGTTGGGATCGAACGGCTGCTATTCATAGTGACGGAATGTGACGTGGAAAGAGATAATTAAATAAATTAAGGTTCGCTTTTGCGTCTCTTTCCTTCCACGTGGTCACCAATGATAGACAGAGTGAAAACTTAGAGCCAATATTTAGTTGAAGCTCACTTGTTTAAGGAGCGTGTTCCCACACCAACCACCACATTATACACAAGCATCCGGTTTAAATATAGATTGTGAATGATATTGTGGATGAACTGCGTTGCGGCCAAAACCACCTAAATTATTCCGGCATTCATCCTTTATGTGGAACGTTGAGCAACAACATTGAATGCATGTGACTCCATTTATATTTACACACTCACACACCTGTTGTTGCCTTATCCCATTTTCATTTCTTGTCTTTCCATATGGTTTTAAGTATTTTTTAACTATACGTAGTTGAAGACTGCAACCGAAACGTTAGAAACAATACAAATGTGATACTAGATACAACACATTTACGAAAATGCATGCATTTTTTATGTTTATTTAGTTTTATTTCGTAGTGATGGAATGAAACCAATAGAAGACAGTGAGCAGTTCGCGAGTTCCAGCTCAGAAGGACGATCGACATGTTACAACATGTGGAGCTGAGCGGCACCGGCATCTAAATTGCGAAAACCAACAACTGACTCAGTGCCAGATAAACGGTTTTCGTCAGTGATCAACACGCAGGAGTTCTCAAAAGAAGGGGCATTTATCTACCAGATCAACACAGAAGCGCGACGACGACGACGACGACGATCGAGATAGCCATCTCTCTCGACAATCAACAGCAGGCGTCACACTGAGCTTTCTGACCCTTGTTTTATATGAAGGCAAAAATTGGCACCCAGTGAACCCCAACCGCGTTGTGACCTACAGTGTGAGCTTCGAAGAACGGACGGTGGCCAGATAACTCAACCCTGTTAATTAATTAATTAAAGAGCGAATCGTGGAATCCAGAAACTAAAGCAGAGGCAGTCAGAGTTACTGGGTCAGAATCAGAATTGAGAACCGGGTATTGCTAATCACAGACGAATACTTGTGCATCCAAATGGGAACCAGTTTAATCTTACTCAAAAAACGATAGGTCATGAAATTTGTGTTTTGTGGAGTCCGTTTAACTTATATTTATGTATGATCTTTTCTAATCAAACACATTCTTTAGTAATTTTATTGATACTGTATGTTTAAATTAATATTATTCATTTTTTTCCAAGGATAGTTATTTATTTTAAAACTTACCGTTCTTAATAGTATATATATATATATATATATATATATATATATTATGCTTTTTTTCATCTTTAACCATAAAAGATGGTTCCACTAAGAAATCATTTATATTGAACTACACTATTGTAATCTTGCCACTCTAAGTAATTTTCATTTTCAATTGCTTTGTTATTATATGAGCATTTTCATTTCCGTCCTCAATTTCTTGTTGCTAAAATACATGACATAAATTTTTTTAATTAATTCTTTTTTTCTTGGTTCTCATGTAGAATTTCGTTTCAATATTGTAATCTTTTCCTTTATAAACTTCAGGAGGTTTTCAACTTTTGATGATGGCAGCAAATTGAATTACTTTTTGATGATCTATTCCAGTACAACAAGTAAGATTAGGCTTGGAGCAAAAAAAAGAAAAAAAAACGCAAACTGCAGACGTGTCTTGAAGTTGAATCTCATGACTAAAGCCTAATTTTAGACATAAAATAGAGCCTTATAGATTTAAATTGTGAACTTCCTTAGAGATGACTGGATCTGGTATATCAGTGTTTGTTGTCTTTGGAGCAATTCGCAGGTAGGAGTATTATACGAAAGACAACGATTCCCCGTGTGGATAGAAAGTTACCGAGAAAGTAATGTCACGATAGAAACCAGGAATATAATACCTTCTGCAAAAGAGGGCTCGCAACTCCACATTGGACACCCATGCTCTCATTTTGGAGCCCTAATTTCAGCCATCCACTACAACAGACGTGGAAGGATTTAGGAGTAAGAGGGCATGGGAGGATACCACATCCATTGTAGAGCCTACCTTTTAACTTTTTTCTGTGTCCACGTGGCACTGGAAGGAATCTAGAGTTTCCTCCCCCTTCGAATGTTAAGAAAGGGCAAATGGAAGGCACTGTAACACTATATGTGTAAGTAGAGAAAGTAAATAGCGGGTGGACTTCATCTCAACAACCCCCTCGGGGAGTGACAATATTCCAACTGATATCATCCACAAGTAACTACATTCATCCGTACCATGCTCGGAATGTACAGTGTCAGCTCATGCTCTATGAAATATCGACAGAGAAACAGGAAAGCCAGATCTAAATTTAAAGTGAAAGTTATCGGGAATCATGCAACTTGCGGGATAAAAGAAGTTAGTGGAAACACAAAAAGTAAAAGTTCACACACGTCGAGAGAGGCAAGAGGGGCAGCTCGGGCATGCGAAAAACATTGTACGAGTCCTGCCCGTAGAAGACGGTGTGGCATTATATGAACGAGGTCATCAGCAAACTATTGCTAATTCACCGAGAGATCGCTGATTGCCCTTTTCCATCTTAGTTCCGATCGATCGATCGCTCATCCGTCGTCGTTCGTTCTTGGCTCATCGGAATCGTGGGTTGGAGTGCTGGAGTGGGTCACCGCTCTTTATCTGCAGCGATGTGTAAGTAGGTCCAGAAGTACCGCCTTTAATTCTGTACATATTCGCGGTTTTCCGCTCTGTTCAGCTACTGGAGCCGTGCGTAGCAATCAGTCTGCACTTGGAAACGACTCTGAATGAGGCCGTGATTTTCTGAAGGAGGTTGCCTCTTGTTCAGTTTGGGTTAAGTTCGTGAACGTTGGAAGAGTATCGGAGGAGCGTCAAGATGGGGTGGGGCAGGCGAGCGTTGGGACTCTCCCTTGTGTTGTTGGTAATTGCGATAGGTCAACAAGCTGATGCCGGGAGAGCGAACGCGATCGTGGACTATGAAGGGAATCAGTTGCATTCCGATGATGCCATTTTGGATGTGTTTCACCAGTGGCTTGAGACCCACTCCCGGGTGTATCGCTCCTTGAGCGAGAAACACCACCGGTTTCAGATTTTCAAGGAAAACTTTTTGTACATTCATGCTCACAACAAGCAGCAGAAGAGCTACTGGTTGGGCTTGAATAAGTTCAGTGATCTTACCCATCAGGAGTTCCGGGCTCAGTATTTGGGTACCAAGCCGGTGAACCGCCAGCGTAAGGAAGCCAATTTCATGTACGAAGATGTTGAGGCGGAGCCCAAGGTGGATTGGCGCCTGAAGGGTGCGGTCACGGACGTCAAAGATCAAGGCGCATGTGGTAATGGACTCTCTTCTTGCAATACCCTACGGCTTAATTGTAGGGTTGCATTGTTGGTCCTAGTGATGTCTATCAAAATCTCGTACAAGCTAGATGCGGGCTTGTGGCCTGATATCAGATTTTTTCTACTGCGTTGCTCTGTGAATGGAACAACAAAGTCCTCAGGTTTGGGTGATTGGGACAATTACCTTTACTGTATGCTAGATTTTGAGCGCATGATATGCCACAGTTGGAATGTGGATGTTGATCTAACATTGGCATTTACTGTGATTCAGGGAGTTGCTGGGCGTTTTCTGCGGTCGGTTCGGTTGAAGGAGTGAATGCAATTAAAACCGGAGAATTGGTTTCCTTGTCTGAGCAGGAGCTCGTGGACTGCGACAGGAAGCAGAACCAGGGATGCAATGGTGGTCTTATGGACTATGCATTCGAGTTTATTATCAAGAATGGTGGTATTGACACTGAGAAGGATTATCCTTACAAGGCCAGAGATGGTCGGTGCGATGAGGGAAGAGTAAGTATCAACCTAGCGGTTATTTCATTCACACAATCTCCCATTTACTTTCATTGAATATTTATGAAGTTTCAAGCATTTATCACATCGTACGGTCACCTTACGTGCGTCCTTTTGTGTTTCCTTCAGAGGAATTCCAAAGTTGTGGTCATTGACGACTACCAAGACGTGCCTACCCAATCTGAGAGCGCTCTGATGAAGGCACTGACGAAAAACCCTGTCAGTGTTGCAATCGAGGCTGGAGGTCGTGACTTTCAGCATTATCAAGGGGTAGGTTGTTTGCCATTGCCGAAGTTCAATTCTCATCTTTGATATGAAGCTGTGCTGCCTGTGAACTTTGTCCTTTGATGTTAATGATTTTTAGTCTGTTTCTACCGCAGTTGAATTTTGATTACCACTTAAATTGTCAATCCAATTTCTTATCATTCATTTTTATTCCTCCAACAGGGAGTCTTCACCGGTCCTTGTGGTTCCGAGCTCGACCACGGTGTACTAGCCGTCGGTTATGGAACCGATGACGATGGTGTCAACTACTGGATTGTCAAGAACTCATGGGGCCCAGGTTGGGGAGAGAAAGGTTACATCCGTATGGAGCGTTTCGGCTCTGACTCTACTGACGGGAAGTGTGGTATCAACATCGAGGCCTCTTTCCCAATTAAGAAGGGACCCAACCCTCCTCCAAGTCCTCCCTCTCCTCCCTCTCCCATCAAACCACCGTCGCAGTGTGACAATTCTCACTCATGCCCTGCTTCTAGCACTTGCTGCTGTGCATTCAACATTGGTAAGTACTGCCTCCAGTGGGGCTGTTGCCCGATGGAATCCGCCACCTGCTGCGAGGATCACTACCATTGCTGCCCCTCGGACTTCCCGGTTTGCAACCTGCGAGCCGGACAGTGTCTCAAGGTAACTTGCTCCTTTCGATTTCTTGTTATGTTTTTTGCCGCCTGTGTTTGCCGATTAACCTTACTTCAGCATAACTGCATAAAGAGTATTAATGTAAATTTTCAAGTCATTCCGTACAGAAATAGAATGTGCTCGGAGCAGTGTTTGTTCCTCTAGTTTTCTTGTATTTTGTGAAAATTGAAGTCTAAGTTATTGTAATGGTTGTAAACGAACTGAGTATCTTGGTTGACATGCTTGCAGGACAAGAGAAACCCGTTTGGCGTGCCAATGTTAGAGCGAACTCCTGCTAAATTCAACTGGCCCAAGTTCTCCTTCGAAGAGGAGAAAAAGGCTTCCTTTTAGAGAGATGCAGTTCTCTTAGCTTTGACGTATTTACGGTTCCCGTTTCTCGCCAGTCTGAAGAAATTATTAGACTTTTTCCATCATTTTATTGGCAAACGCTGGAGGATTAAATCTCTATCCAAGGTAAAGTGCTTCATAGTTGGTCAATAGTCTCTGGCTAAGCTCTCTGAATGAGCTGGCTGTGCACTAGGTTTCGGAGATATTCGTTGTGTAGTTGCGAAGGTATTAGCTGATGCCCCATTGTATAGTTCGGACATGAGCTCTATTTGTTTGCATAGTTTGTATGTACATATTTTACCAGAAAATGAAAAGAAAAAGGCTTTTAGACCTAGGGAAGTGATGTTACAGCATCCTCAGTTAAGTCTTTAAAATGGCATTTCTCCTTATTGCTCCTTGGTATGCCAAGGAACACTTTTCCTATAATCCAAACAGTGATATACAACTATCTCTGCCTTTCTCCGACTCAATTGTTTGGATTAAACTTCCTGGTTGTTAGTTGTATGTGAAGTTAACATAGGTGTTACTATTATTATTATTATTATTATTATTATTATTTTTTTCTCTTATGGCAACATTAAAATATATGCATATTTCCATATCTGGAAAGAAACGACGCATTGAAAAACACGTCAAATCAATGAGCACTCAACCCGCATTTTTAAACTGTACGTTCAAACATTGAAGGTTGGGCACTGCACATAAACTCTCTGTCGAACAAGAGCGCGCGATTGATACCTAGGTGATAACTTCGGTGTGGTAGTGTAGACGTATATGCAAACTACTGACTATCCAATGTCTATTTCTATGTAATCACTACCTGTTGTCTGTATTCTGGCTTTAAATATCCTACCTATCATAATTTTCATTTGGGAATTTTCAATGTACAGCGAGTCTAAAATCTATCAGTGAACGACACATATTGCTTAGTCTGGTAGTTGAGATTCTAATATTCTCTTTTCATCCATGGGGTTTTCATTGAGTGCCACCCTTTACTTGTTTTAGCACCTTGTCCCGCATAACCTGCTTGTGATCAAGCTTGGGTGAGTTCCGAGCAGCTGGGGTATTCATTTTGCTATGATGAAACGAATATTTGAAGCACACTTTAAAGCAGATATATATACATTATTCAATTAAACAGGTCAGGGCATTCGACATGATAACAATCTTGCCAATCCGGTTGTAATGGCTGAAATTTGAAGTGATGCTGATTTTCTTTTTAAACCGACGACTGCTGTGCTGTGCACACAGCAAGGAAGGGGTAGTTACCATAATTCCGGTAGAAGTTGTATCGTTGAGTTAGAGGTATTTTCCCTCCGCCCGCGGCAGTTTGTTTTAAATCTGAGCCCGTGGATTTGATCGCGACTCCCTTTTGCTTCTTTGGAAGACCTCCTTGCTTCAGCACTATCTTCCGCTTCCCAGCAGTATCCAGCACACGGTCTTTCGAAGAACCGCGGCTTGATGAGCGACTTTCCATTCCTGATTCTTTGCAAATCAATTCACAGCCCAATTTATTTCGAGTTGTAGGGGCTTTGCAATCTTCCATATCTTCATTGTTCTCGTCATGATACTCTGCCCTGTATCGCAGATGATTAGAATTGTGCACATTTTAAATACTAAGAAATTAATCGATTCATCGGGTTATCTACGTTATATTTGTAACTTCACATACATAATTATATTACAGAATGTTTCCACGAATTATCACACTGCTCAAGCACATGTCCATTTTGAACAAACGATGAGGATAAGGTTTGTGAATACTCAGCAACATAAATAGTAGTTTTCAGCTCGTCACGCAGTTATTAATTAATTTCACTTGTAACTGGCGACTCGATTGACGATCGACAAACTTGAATTTTTTTGTTTAATGATATCTACACTTTGGGTTTCCTAATGTCGAACATATTGGTAGCAGCTGCAGACTAGATAGGTCCAATTGTATAATAAAACCAGATACATAAGGCTAAAGCGAGTGACCTTACTGGTAATTTCGGCCAACTTTGCGAGGAAATGCTAATGGCCGTAAGGCTAGCTTTTGTTTCACACATTTCGCTTGATGGGAGTGTCCTTTTGTGTGTTCCAACTGCGGTTGAGGGCCATGAGTTTTCAGCTCGTGGCTTGGCTGGGTCACAACCACTTTCTTACTCAGTGGAACAGGGTTGGTAACGCTGTCGCAGCAATCTTCTAGTTTTAATGGTGTAGGTGATGTTTGACAAGCAACTGCAATACACCATACAATATTGAGCTCCCCTATTAGAGGTATTTCTGATCAGAAAGTAGTGAGCCCCAGGTATTGCTGAATTTGTCAACACCAGCCTACCTTTGAACAAACCCCAGTGAGGTGGCTATAACGTTATCAACATGATGAGGCGCTATTCAATCAATCAGAAGCTGGTTCCAGTAGATCGAAGTCCTCGAAATATAATTTTCAACAGTTACTGAGATAGTTCAGACCACAATAAGTTGGCAGTGTTTATGGAAGGCCCAGTTGTTGGACCATTAAACCTTCCCCTTGTTAGCATTAGTCACTTCACCTGGCTTTTATGGAATTCGCCGGACTCCGATTGACTAGATGTGCTCGAACATATTTAACAGACTGTAAGGACTAGTGAACGAAGTATATTCACGAGGTTGAAGATGTTTTGACCGAAAAATGTGCCCTGGAAAGTGTCAGTGCCTCACAGCAGTTCTGGCGAACAATCGGTCAAAGATTTTGAGGTGAGTACGTGGGGTAGTACCAGGAATAGCAAGGCTGTGATCACATGAGATCTGTAGCTTTTCCAGCTGAGCTCTAGCTTCTTGAAGCTCCTTCCTTAAGGCCTCACACTTCTTAGTGCAGATTTCCTTGGGAAGCTCGTGGACATTTTCGACCTGATATCCATCCATCCAGTACAACTGTTTAAGAGTTTACTAAAATTTTGAACGAGAAAGCAACGGAGAGTATTTTAGGCAGAGTGTTAATCAGGATATCCTTTTCTTTGCTTGACGGTTGAAAGGTCTATTCATTCAGGCCAATGCTACCTTGAACTAGTTCCCTTCCCCAATCGGGATTGAGCATTCGAAGGGGTAGTTATGAATGTGATAATAGAACTTTACCGCTTTGTGAAAAGTTACGTAGAATTTTCCGTACTCTGAGTTAGAGGTTTCCCATCTCCAGGAATCGGGCTTCCTGGGTAGACCAACCACTGACCAAGACATTTTCAACAATTTAGAATGAGTCAATGCTAAAAGTGCAGAATGCTAGCCGTTCTCGAACACTGGAAGAGAAAAAGTTAATGTCTGACATATCATCTACACTTCGAGCGATGTTGCTGTAACTTATAAATGCGGTCATTGGTGTCTCAATTGTTCTTTGCGGAAACTACGAGTTTGAATAATTCTGATTCATGAACTCCAACATCACCTAGGGCACAAATGCATCTCAGCAACAATTTACTTTTTCAGTTCATACAGGATAGAGACGGGTCAGTAAATTGCTAGCTCACTCCCTTGAATATCAACTGAAAACTTACTTCTATCATTTTTCTATGAAACATGAACAAAGGCAATTTTGATCCCCAGCACAAAAATTACATCGCTGTTGTTAATTATCAAGAAAAACGGTAAAGAGGCTCGCTTAGTCCTTAAACCCAAACCCTAATTATTAATTCCTGCAATTGTGAACCACTTGCACAACTGTCTTCCAAATAGGAAGCTTGAGAATTTTGCAGAATAATACCAACGATACTAAGAGATTACACCGGACATAGGCACAAGCATATCACCAAAACACTCAAACTATGCCCTAGCTTCCACATCATTTCAAACCACTAACGACATGTATAGAATCAAGTCGAATAACTCATACCTGGATTTGCATGTCCCATTTCGCATTACACTTGGCCAATGAGCTGCTAAAATGCACTTACAGCAGTGTGCTACTCCATTACAATTCGTTCACTAATCCATTCAGCTAATTGTAAGTCCATCCAACATGTCTCCTTTTTCGCGTTACCATCAGGGAGACACTGAGGATTTGAATAGGCAATAAATTAAACTTTCAAATATAATAAAATGTCAGCGAAGGTTTCAATAAGGAATCACAGATCGACGAAGACCTACAAACTAAAAACCTGTCTGTACAGAAGCCATTCGAAAAATTTCACTGCTCAGACGTTCCGATCAAGATGCCTCAAGCATGTAGTATCACCGGAAGGGCCTCATAGTGTAAAAGGACCGTGACTTTAGGAGGAGAACGATCTACAGATGCAACGGCCGAGAAGAGATGGAGAGAAGGCGATTTAACTAAACCCGGAGTGAGCAGGTCGTAGAGACCAGAAGGAATCAATATTTGGGGCAGTTCTTGGCGACCTTACATCCTCTGCAAATGAACCAGAGCTGAGCCACCGCGAATTGCACCACAAAACCGCTACGCATTCGTTTGACAAGTTAGTCCCTGGTGTAGAAATTAGGGTTTGCGTCCCCCATCGCTTCATCTTCTTGACACGAGCCTTGACAGATAGGAAAGTCGGGTTGCTATCGAGTCAGCAAATGCATGGCACTGTTAGTCGTTTCGGTAATCACTAGTTACGTAGCGTTCCAGCTCCGCTCCTCTTCATGTTAGCGTGGCTGTGAGCGTATAGATTTATTTAATTCATCAATACGTACTATAAATGCGATTATAGCTGCACCTCTGCATGCCTGAATTGACTTCAGTCGCGATCCCTCCGTAGCTCTTTATCCGTTGTCCAAGGTACAATGCTCGCTAACAGCTAGTTTCTTGTTCTCAAATGCTCTTGCTCCTGTATGTCAAATTCCTCGATTAAATTTTTAGAGCATGTCTTGTTGCAGTGCTCGGTTTCGAGTATGTTCTGATCGCATTCCGTCACCATCTCGTTCAATTGTTATTCTCCTCCACTATTTTCCTCTTGAATCTAAATGGGAGTCACCACTCGTCTTAGTACATTGCACACTTTTCCTCTACAAGCTAGTTGAACTTGTTTGTTCTCGAAATTCTGGAAAATGACTGCTTCCAATAGAACTGTAATTTGAATCCACCCGCCGATTTTCTCTCATTTTCGTTCTTCCTGAGGTTAATGCTCCTCCTGGAGACTGACGCTTTGAGAGTTAAGAATGTTGCTAGTATGGATGGACATTATTTAAAGTGGAGTGAAATTTATGAGTCAATATTAATGTTCTCATCAAGTATTCCGACCACATGTGGGATTGTAATACACCACTCAAGAGATGTGGAACATATCAAAATCAACCGTAAGGTTTGGGGATTTGTGTTCCTGGATATGGTCGACCAGCTACACTGGGTGCGTAAACCACCCTCTTGCTTCTAAATTAATCTTGTTAAATGCGGTATATAACAGGTCGTTTAGATATCCCTTAACAGCTCTTATTTAAGCGCACACTCGAAGACGTCCCAGTGACAGCAGAATTCGCTGTTTCTCAGTAGATGAATCCATGCTTTCGACTTGCGGCTTGGACACTTCTTGGAGCCAGCATCTGCGAGCAGTGGAAGTGAATGAACTGGCGGTTAAGAAGTTGGTATCTCTCGGACTCAGAGTGACCAGAGTGAATATTAAGCGTAATCCCATTGGCTAGTGGGATTATGATCTGGCCACTCTGCCCCAGAGTGATGCTTTTCGCTACGGGACTTGTGCAATTACAAATAGAGCGAATCAAGACCTCTGCTATGTGATTACATCACGAGGCTTCCAATGCTACATTGGGAAGAGATATGGAGAACAAAGCAAAAGAGATAAATCGAAAGCATTTGCAAGGCAAGGGTTGTCAGCTAGAAAGACTTCCTGTTTTCAACAAATTTCAATTGAATTTGCAGCCAGGTGGATATGCTGTTGGATTGCCATCCTACTGCTCATACTTTCTAAATCGTTTCCTTTCAATCTTTCTTTCTTTCTTTCTTTTTTATTTATTTATTTTTGACTATAGACATCGTATCTGCAACCTTAGTCTCGTGTTCAGCTAATTGATCTGACAACTTCGAAGGATTTCCCTTCTAGAATTCTTACAACCTCGCCGTGCTTGTATAGCAGAGTGAACTGGTTCCTGTGCTGTCTTTGGAAGTGACCGTAGGAGAGGAGGTGGCCAGTGGCAGTGCATTCAGTGACGCAGTGATGAAAAGCCATGTTGCCAGAATCAATGTAGACCTTCAATCATCTCAGCTTCTTGGAATCACATCTGCACTTTTCTATCGATCAATACCACAGCACTCCAAGTAAGTAGTCTCCCTTCAATCTACGTCAGACTCTACTCTGATACTCAATTCATATATTTCCTTCTTTTATTTATTTATTTGTATACACACACACACACACACACATATATATATATATATATATATGTACATACATACATACAAAAGCATCATTCTTTTTGCTAAAATACATAAATGCAACGTTCTTCTAAAATTTTATATAAATGTATATACTTGTATATTCTCAATTTTGCTTTCTGATTTTTAAAGACTGTATTAATTAATAATGTTCAAATGAAGTATTACAAATATTCTTAAATAATATCTATCCATATAATTCTTAAAAATAAATTGTAAGGTTTTTAAAAGAATTATTGACTAAAGAACATAAAAGTTAAAATCATCAAGCTTTTAATAGTCTTCAATAAACTTAACATCATTAGTTAATAAATATAAAATTAAAAAATTAGTGTTTAGACTTATTCTTGGAAAGGAAATCTATGTAATAAATTTTTAGTTAAAAGATATTTAGTTTTGGAATTTTAATTTGTTTCTTGTATTTCTTGTTTTAATTTTATTGCATAATATAATTGTCTTAAGAAATAAGAAATAAGAAAAAAATATAAAATATAAATATATATGTATACTTGACTATTTAAAATTTTAGGATCATAGTATATCACTAAATAATTTATAATCTTTTATTTTAATCATTTATATTTTTTAATTTTTGAAAATAAATTATAAAATATAATTCTTAAACATGATAAAAGTTATTTGAAAATAAAATTTAAAACGTTTTATTTTATTTTATTTTATTTTTATTTTGTTTTGTAGAATATAGATTTTATATATAAAATTCATATGGTATAATCAATTTTACTTCATTTTAATAAAAATAAATATTATTAATATATAATAGTATGATTAAGTTATTTTTTAGAGTATAAATGTATATTGATAAATTATTATTGTAACCTTTTAAATTCATACAATTGTATAGATTATGAAGTATATATCAAAAAAGTATTTTAAAAAGTAGAAAAGATTGAATAATATTAAAATAAATTTTAAAAATTATTATTATAAAAAATAATTTGATTAGTCTATGATTTTTAAAATTTTTTATTTAAAAAAATAATATATCATTACAAAATATATAGTGATATATATATATATATATATATATATATATATATATATATGTTTTAATTTAAAATATACTTCAAAGTTTTAGATTATTCACAATAAAAAAAATCACAAATCAATATATATGTGTGTGTGTATATATATATATATATATATATATATATATATATATATATAATTTTTTAAAACTATTACAAATAAAATTTTAAATTCTAAAAAAATGATAACTTGTGTTAATTATATTGACTTAATGATTTTTTTTATATATTATATAATTTAAATTATGTATATATAATAATTTAATATTCATAATTAATTTTGTATAAAATTAAAATTTATATAATAGATTAATTATTTTGATTTCATTTACAAATAGAACTTTTTAGGTATATGTATATGGCTTGGATGAAAGATTTTACTTTGTTTAATTACAAGTAATGGCTAAGATCATGCATTTGTAACAACTACAACAAACTTAAAGACACAAAATTAGTTGGCTAAAGGATGTTATTCTTCTCAAGGACTACCTAATGGATTGAAATTGTAAAAGCTTAAGTGGAGATATCAGTTCTTTTATATATAATAATAATAATTTAATTTATAATTTTATAAAACTTGTTTATTCATAAAATAACCTATAACTTATCTATATGAATAAAACATCAAATTTTGATATTTAAATAATATATTATACTTGTTACAATAATTTATAGCAATTTCACATTAATGACATAAGATATTTATTAGAAAAAAATCTAATTACAATGGTATGATCAAGTAGAATTAATTTCTTAAACATTTTAATTTTAATTTTTTTACACAATTTTATATAATATTATATTTTATTTTAAATATTTTTTAAAATTAAATTACAAATAAACTATATTTATTTATAATGTATTTTTAAATAATTTATTTCAATTAAAATATTTTAAAATTATATCTAAATTAAAGAATAGTTATCTTATTAAATGAAAAGATAAAATATAAATTTATAATTAAGTATAATTTATATAATATTTTATTATTATATATTTAATATTAAAGTATTAAAACATCCTATTGAACATCTAATTTTATAAAAATTTAATTAGTTATAATTTAAAATTACAATATTTTTTTATTAATTTAGTTGCTTAAATTTAATTTAAAATTATTAATATTAAAATCATAAATTATACATTTTGGTACTAAATGCACTTTTAGATGTTTGATTTTTAAAATTTAAAACTAATGTGGATACTATTGTAACATTCATATTTTTTTAAACTCTAATTTTGATCTTATATCTTTTAGCTATAAGAATTGTATTATTATAAAAATAGAGTATTAAAATAAAGCTTAAAAGTAAATAGGTATCTATTTATCTTAAAAATCAATTTAAGGTTTTTTAAGCTTTAAATATTTTTAATGTTATAACTGATTTTGTTTGATTTTTAGTTTGATTACTATTAAAGGACTTAGTTAGAAAGCACAATCTTCATCTTAATCTTAAATAATCTTAAAGATTAAAAATGAAAGATGTTTTCACGTATCTTAGTATCTTAGAAAAGCATCTACTTCACCTCTATTCATTACAAAATGTTTTGGCATGATTTCAGATATAAGATTTTTTATATAAATTTTGTCTTACATTCTTAAGTGATGTTATTAATATGCTAGTCTAAGATAATATTAAAATTAAAGTGGCTTCTTATCTAATTCAATTGCTTTTATGATTGTCATTGAAGCAATTATTAGGATTTTTTTATCAAGTTAAAAACTAAATCTTATTTCTAATTAGAAGATTTACTAAAAGTCTCTATTATTGTTATAGTTGTATTCCAAAGATCAATTGTGCATGATAATATTTATAAATTTTGTTCTTAAAGATTAAAAAATAGTTTTAAAAGAATATATAATAAATAAATAATAATATGAACCTTAGCTGTTAGAACAAAGACTATATGAAGCTTCTATTGCTATGTTGCTTTTATAAAGCCGTTATAATTTTATTATTAATATAAAAAATATCAACATGAAAAGATATATAATTTTTATTAAAAATAATAACTATCTTAGAACTTTATATAAGAAAATTATATTAATATTTTATTAAAAATAAAAATAATATTTTATATAAATAATTTATGTTTTATAATTATTTAGATTGATATTATTTAATTACTTATTATTATATTTATTTTTTTTATAAAAATAAAAATTTAATTTTATATGATTTATGGTTTTTTTTAAATATTATTTTATTATCTTCTTTTACATTTCTTATATAATTTCTCATAAAAATAAAAATAAAAAATATGCTTAGTAAATTTTTAATTTCTAAAATAATTTTGATAAATGATAATATATTAAAAAATTATCTTAAAAAAGTTATGTTCTAAAATAATTCTTATCATAGAATTGTGTTACAAATATATATATTTATTCCAATAATTATCTATATGTTTAGGTAGAAGTATATAAAAGTATATTAATTTTATAATATCTTGTAAAGAAGCTTTCTAGAAGCTTTATAGACGTTGCTTTCACTTTATACATATTTGTAGTTGATTAATAGGTTAGAAACTTAGTCAACAAGTTAATTATATATCACATGTATTGGTAGCTTATAGAACAAGCTAATTATGTGGTATACATATAATAAACTTGCCTTGCAAGTTAAAACATGTGTCTAGCAAAGTCAACACATGTTGGAAGTTCTTTAGAATGTTGTCACATAGCTTCTAGTTAGATAATATATATAGAGGGAAGATTAAAGCCTTCTTTACTCTTATTAATTTATTTCTTGCTTCTAATTTAGTTTGAAGAGTTTTTAGGTTTCTAGCCTTTGACAATAGCCATCCATGTTTTTAATTAAATATATTTATTTTCTTATTTCTAATTTATCATCTATTTTTATATTTATTTCATTTGTTTATGTATCTTCTTTTTGGTTCTTATTCTTGATAGATTGATAAGAATTCTAATTCATTATTTCTATCTTGTTTTTAAAAGTAAGTGGATTATCCCACTTCTATTATTATATTTTAAAGATTGTTGATTGTCTACATTGAACTAATATTGACTTTTCTAATATTATTTTTTTTCACTTAAAGAGAGTGAATTATCTTTCTTTGTATAAATTTTTATTTGATATTAAAGGTTGCAAATTACACTCTTCTAAATTGACTTGTGAATTTATTAAGTTAATGAAATAGAAGAGAAAATAATAGATGCTACATTTGGCAAAAAAAATAAAAATAAATAAAATAAAAATAAAACTATTGCAAATTTTTACAAGCTTGTCAACACTTTTAATTTAGAAATTTCATGCATCACCAATACCAACCATAGAAGCACTCTTCCTAAACATATAAAAGAAGTCTAAAATCTATGCTAAGAAATTATATAGTTGAGAGAAGCAAGTAGATTAGCCTTACAATTAAATCTAAAAAGTTTTATTTTTATAAGCATAAGAGAGATAAGGATTAATATTCCCAATTTTTTTGATGGAATAAGATCAAAATTTCAAAGGTATTTGTAATAAATCAAACTCTATTTAAAATTGCATCGTTTTCAATATCTTAATGGATTTATTCAAGTTGGGTTCATAGTTGCATTTTTATCTAGAATTGCTTTCTCTTTATTTACGCCTTTGATGGAAAATGATTCATGACTCCTTTATGATTTGAATTTATTCCTTAAAGTATTTATGGTCACATTTGAAGAAAGTAATAAAAAAAGAGTAATAAAGGCCAAGTTCTTATCTTTATACCAAGGATCACAATTAACTACCATATATGCTATTAAATTTCAAAACCTTGCTTGTAACATGGATTAGAATGACAAAGCCATTATCAATCAATTTTGATATGAATTAAAAGATAGCATCAAAGATTTATTAGTAGCAATGCCAAAAATAGATTCTTTGAAGTAATTGATTATTTAAAAAGCATCAAGAATATTTTTTTTTTTACAAAGGAACAAATCAAATAATAATGGCAATTCCTAAATTTTT